ATCAAATAAAGATTCAACATATCTTGAAACCTTAAATAAGGTTTTTTTGGGGGGACAATATCATCGTTAGATATAATTATCTTGCACATTGAATCAACTGTAGTTTATTCAGTGGTCTCGTTACGGCAGAAACCACAGCCAGGGGAATGGGCTTGGAAAACTTTAATGTTAAAATGTAAATAACTCCATGAAAATATCTATTGCACTATATAAACTTTAACTTATGAATAATGAAAGTGAATATGTAAGATTGACAGTAACGACAAAGACAGATCTTCTCACAAACGATTCAAGAATTAATACATTCTAAGTAATTAACTAGGAAACGTCTAGTAACAAATCGTACTAGAGCTAAGAAGGAGATTCTCTTGTTTCTGCTAGAAACCTATCAGATTGGTCGTGTGAAGTTGGATTCTTACACAAGCTCTGTTGCACCGTAATTTCCAATTTAATTTCAGAAAGAAAATATTTTCCTTTTCGATACCTACTTGTTTACGGTATTACCCTAATTTCTCTGGAGATTTATTCAATCAATATGAGTATTAAACAGGAATATTCTGTTTTACAGCGGCTATAGATGTACCAAATACACACGTTGGTAGTTTCAAATTTCAGACCTTAATACAGTTGATGTTTTGTTTTTGTTGAGTCCCACATACTAGTAGCTGTGATCCAAGTGCCAGTAAAGACGTCAAAATCTTCTAGGAGATACACAAAAACAGACCATCAAATAATATAATGTTTTTTATTTTTTAAGCAATATTAAACAAAACCACACTCAGAATATAGTAAAACTCATAAAAACAAGAAGCCCACACTTACCAATCAGGTGTTTATACTTGGTTCAGACAACTAGCATTAACTAAAGACCTTCTCTAAACGTACTTTGTTATTTGTCCTACCTAACTCGCAAGTTTTCGCTAAATAAACATTAGTTCCAATACTTAAGAATAAATCAGTCCCAGTAATGACTCAGGTTACAAAAAGAAAACCACACCTGAGGAATGTTAATGACAACAAAATATGTACACAATCCTAACTTGAAAATTACTGTTTGATATTTCAAACCTGTGACACATGCTCACTACAATGGGTTACACGAGCAACGTAAACACAATAAAGTCTATGCTTTAAATAGCACAAAAGTAAAACATAACATTTATCATTATTGCATGAAAAACCCCTTACCACCAAGTATTTTATACAAATAAGCACAAGGTATGGAGTATTTAAACAGCAAGTAAAAACAATAATTATGACATACTGAGACAGTCTTGACATGATAAACAGAAACATGCAATTCCCTGCAATTAACAGTTTCTGTGCTACATCATTTGTGGCATCCATTAAAGCTAACAATTTTTACTACAGTGTAATTCCATAATTTATTTCAAATAAAAACTGGACTCGATCCAGGAGTGTGTACATGCATCATTACTCTGGTGAGAAACATTGATTCTTTAATCTATCAAAGGATCGAGCTTTTATTTTTTGTTATTAAGACTAATAACGAATTTAAATTATTCCTCGTATATTTCAAATTTATATACCCAAGTATTTATCTTTTTTGAGCAATGATTATCACAAATACATATATTTTACAAATCACACATTTACTTGTCCTTTTTTTGAAATATTCACAGCACTAAATGTTTGTTACTTTAAAACAACAAACTTAAAAGTACATAGCAAAAATAACCTAGCAATGCCAATACCAGGATAAGAGTATCCAAAGACGTGTACCAAGTAGGTACGAGTCATCCTATCTGGCTATAGAACAATGTTTTTTTAAGAGATGTACAGTTTTAGTGTGCTCAATCACCATTAATGCAGATATGAAGTTTTTATTTAATAAGCCTAATCGAGTAGAACGTGACATGGACTTTGCACCGGAGTTCCCCCAGACCGTGAACATACAACGTTTGCTTACAGTTTTCAATATCAACATAGACCTAAGACATCAAAAATATACATATCTGTTTGATAAAAATATATATATATAGCTACAGTAATACATACCTTCCTGTATTACATCTGAGCTCTTAAGTTTCATATCAGGCACTACTGAATTTATATTTTATACAATTTTAACGTGCATATAATTATGATTATTTTAAATTGCAATGAATATTTACACCTGCTACAATTTAAAAAAAAAAAAAAATTAATATGAGCGTAACATCCTAGCCCCCACCCATACTAAGTCTGAACAAGAAACTTTAAATATCAGCCTTTAGAAACAACATTAAGTACATCTTGGAGAACAAAAGTTTTATTTCACAGAAATAAAGAGCAAAGCTTTCAATTTTTTCCATCCTATTCATACTCCTGATATATAAACTTTATTGGCCACTTGATAGAAACAGACCATAAATATTTTTATTCTTACACAAGCTCTGTTTCACTATAATTTCCAATTTAATTTAAGAAAGAAATTTTTTTTTTTTAAATTTATACCAGCATGTTTACAGTATTATCCAAATTCTCTGGAGATTTATTCAATCAATTTGAGTATTAAACAGGAATATTCTGTTTTACAGCGGCTATAGATGTACCAAATACACATGTTGGTAGTTTCATTTTTTAGACCTCAATATAGTTCTGGTTGTTCACATACAAAGGTTTTTGATATGAAAAAAAAATCACGATCTCTGGCACATAAAACACTTCTTTCAACTCTTAGTTACTGGGTGAGAAATAATCGTTCGTTTACATTTACTTCAAAACAAATCTGATATATCACAATGTTCTTTACGTGTTTTACAAAACATTCTACTGTCATAATAGTTACACAGTAAACTTTAAGGTAGCTACCCGTGACAAAGGAGTTACAACATGTTTAACACGGGGTAGCTACTGTGACAAAGCAGTTACAGCATGTTTAACACAGGGTAGCTACCTGTGACAAAGCAGTTACAACATGTTTAACACGGGGTAGCTACCCGTGACAAAGGAGCTACAGCATGTTTAACACGGGGTAGCTACCCGTGACAAAGGAGCTACAGCATGTTTAACACGGGATAGCTACCCGTGACAAAGGAGCTACAGCATGTTTAACACGGGATAGCTACCCGTGACAAAGGAGCTACAGCATGTTTAACACAGGGTACTACTTGTGACAAAGCAGTTACAACATGTTTAACACGGGATAGCTACCCGTGACAAAGCAGTTACAACATGTATAACACGGGATAGCTACCCATGACAAAGCAGTTACAACATGTTTAACACGGGGTAGCTACCCGTGACAAAGCAGTTACAACATGTTTAACACGGGGTAGCTACCCGTGACAAAGCAGTTACAACATGTTTAACACGGGATAGCTACCCGTGACAAAGGAGCTACAGCATGTTTAACACGGGATAGCTACCCATGACAAAGGAGCTACAGCATGTTTAACACAGGGTACTACCTGCAACAAAAGAGCTACAGCATGATTAACACAAGGGTACTACCTGTGACAAAGGAGCTACGGCATGTTTAACATAGGGTACTACCTGTGACAAAGCAGTTACAACATGTTTAACACAGGGTACTACCTGCAACAAAAGAGCTACAGCATGATTAACACAGGGTACTACCTGCAACAAAAGAGCTACGGCATGTTTAACATAGGGTACTACCTGTGACAAAGCAGTTACAACATGTTTAACACAGGGTACTACCTGCAACAAAAGAGCTACAGCATGATTAACACAGGGTACTACCTGCAACAAAAGAGCTACGGCATGTTTAACATAGGGTACTACCTGTGACAAAGCAGCTACGGCATGTTTAACATAGGGTACTACCTTCAACAAAAGAGCTACAGCATGATTTAACACAGGGTACTACCTGTGACAAAGCAGCTAGGGCATGTTTAACAAAGAACGTTCCTAAAGTAAACCAAGATCTATGAAAACAAACAATACACAAACTTTATATTTTCTTACACCATGTGGGCCTTCTGTGTAGTTGGTTTGTAGTTCACTTCCTGGATCAAATGCAGGCTCCATGATAATAATATAAAAAAACAATTCACAAGTAATGTTAAAATGTAAATTCAGAACAAATAACTAAGCCTTAACTTATAAATAATCAAAGTGAATATGTAAGATTGACAGTAACGACAAAGACAGATCTTTCAGGATTCTCACAAACAATTCAAGAATTAATATATTCTAAGTAATTAACTAGGAAACATCTAGTAACAAATCGTGCTAGAGCTAAGAAGGTAGTTAATCTTAAGAAGGAGATTCTCTTGTTTCTGCTAGAAACCTATCAGATTGGTCGTGTGAAGTTGGCAGGAAAGATTCCTTTCTCCTGTGTGGATTCTTTGATCCCCATAAGCCAGCCTTCTTCCTTTTATTGAAATATAAAACATTGAACACTATAAGTTTCATATGAGAATTAAGCTTTTAACAAATCAAAATATAACATTTTCTATGAGATACTAATTTTATAAAACATGGGCCGCTACAAACTGTTTAATAGGGGGCATTATCAGTTTCATACAAATTATTAAAAAAAATATATATAAGAATTAGTAATTTTTTAAGCACCAATACATAGGCCGTTATCAGTTTCATACAAATTATTATAAAAAAACATCAAAACAAAGTTATAAGAATTTCGATGACGAGGAACCCAATTTGAGACTAATAATGGTTGGAGACGGCTTGAATGGGTAATGAGGAAAACTTTAATATAAGTTTAACACAACAGCAAATGTACAACGTTTCGACAACCTGATGATGACAAAACCTTGTCAAAGCGTTGTAAGTTTGCTGTTGTGTTAAAGGTATAAGAATTATTAATTTTTAATGCACCAAACCATAGGTCGCTATCAGTTTCATACAAATTACTAAAGTTCAATGAAACAGCACATAACCCACTATTATTTTGAAGAGATAATGTAACAAAACATATTAGCTGCCGGTTTACGAGAATAGGCACCCATGTTTGTTTGATACTGTGATTTACAAAATATTGAAAAAAATATATAAATGAATATCAAAAAAGTTGAAGTTAACTGGGTATATATCAAATTGAAATTTCTAATCAATAATATAAAGAATTTAAATTCCGAATTAAACAGGGAATTTGTAATGTTTTTACAAAAAAGTCAAACAAACAAAATTTTGGAAATTTCACAACTTTAACCCTGCACTAGTACCCTTACTGTATGGAACAACCTTCACAACATGGGGTTGTGCTACACACCAAAAATGAAAGTAAGTTTGATTACATTGTTAATCTATCTATGTGTGATTTAATATAAACATCTTGTGAACGATACCATAGAATACTGTTCTTTTTTTTGTTTTGTTTTGATAGTGTTAGTAAAGGAATAATGGAAAATATCAGATATTGATGCTTGATATCGCTTTATCTAAAAAAACAAAAAAAACATGATTCAAAAAGTAAAAATTTTTTTTTTTATCTAAACATCTTCCTACAAATTATTTTGAAGTAAAACGATCATTGATTGAGCTACATCAATGAAAATGATAAATAATAGAGAGAAAGTTAAACTAGGAAAACATACCCTTGTTTAGTACTGTGGGGTATTTTGATCCCCCAAGCCACGAGAAATTGCATGTTTCTCTCAGTTTAGCTGGGGTAGAAATGGGAGAAACTAGTTGTCTACTCTATCGTCAGTTTTAAGAAACTACCAGGAATAGTAAAGGCTTAGTGTTGCAATGTGTTTGTGAGAATGTTTACAAACTGTTTAGGATAGAAAAAAAACCCAGGATACGAACGTAGGGTTAGAAAAATAAAATACCAAATCAAATTAAGTTTTTAAACAGAAATTAGATACTACTTTAGAAAGTTTCATGCAGTTTGGTTGAGTATTTCTAATGTGAGAAGGGGAACATCGGTGACACCTCTCTTAGATGGAAGTAGAAATCTGACATAAAGCTCCTTGACTTACTTGTTCTTCAGGATCGTCATAAGCAACAACATTGATGATGTCATTTGATTCAAATGAAAGCTCATCTACATCTTCAGCGGTATACTTATATGTGGCTTGTACCTGAAATACAGAAAAAAAACGGGAAGATGTCAGTCTGGCCAACAACCTCTAATACTTATATGTGACTTGTACCTGAAATACAGAAAAAAAACGGGAAGATGTCAGTCTGGCCAACAACCTCTAATACTTATATGTGGCCTGTACCTGAAATACAGAGAAAAAAACAGGAAGATGTCAGTCTGGCCAACTACCTCTAATACTTATATGTGGCTTGTACCTGAAATACAGAAAAAAAACGAGAAGATGTCAGTCTTGCCAACTACCTCTAATACAAGAGAAAAACAAAACTATCACTTGGTGGCCATGCAACATGTGGACGTTATGGTGGCCATGCAACACGTGGATGTCTTGGTGGCTATGCAACACGTGGATGTCTTGGTGGCTATGCAGGCCAGATACAATTATATTTGGGGAACTCCTGTCAACTGTATGATGCACTGATTTGATGCCAATGGTTATCAAAAATAAGAAAGCTTCTTGAAAAGAAAAGATTAAGAGGGATAAACTTGCTATGAAAACTACTGTCATTTTATTTATCTACAGTGCACACCAATCATAAATGTCTAAAACAAAATCCACCTTTTAAAACCGTTATACTTGTAGGCAGTAACTGAAACGTGAAGGGGTGCGGACAAATTACCAACGAGCTGACAGAATCATGTGCTAATGCATAATTAAGTACATCACTTATATGCTTCCCATCTCTCGGACAGGTAACCTGACTAGTTCTATATAATATACCGTTGTTTTGATGTAATTAAATGAAAACAATGCCAAAATGTTACACACTTTTTTGGCCACAAACTCTGGCAGGTTTTTGCATACATATATACAAAGGGAATAGAATAAAGTGCTTCTCAAATGTGAGCCCTCGTGATGCCCAGGCAACATTAAAAGCTTATCTATGTCACTGGCTGTAGTTTTGTTAAGAATTCTTATTGTAAAGTGCCTTTACTACACTTAAAAGAAAGACTATACAGTCATATAAAAATCTTATAAATGTTAATTATATAAAAAGACTATAAAAAAAACTCATAGTAAAAACTACATAAGCTGCTTAATTTTTCAGTCATTTTTTTTTTTCACCACACAGATGTAAATCAACTATGAGGACTCATAATATACACCTACCCTATAATAAACCCCAGGAGGAAGATTATTTGTTGTTGCCCCTGGTGGAATTTCCACATAATCCTCTGTATTCAGAGCCTTCAGTGGCACATTGTCATTATGGATCTATAAAAAATTATAAATTTAATACAAAACGTATGTAAAGATTACTTAGCAAGTATTTTTAATCAACAATGTCCAATCTTAATGACCATAAACATTTATTGTTATTTAAGTTTATTTATCATACTATAATTTTCATTGTTCAAAATGACAATAACCCATTTTTTTTTTTACTAATTCAATGACATGAAATTACGTAGACAGCCAAGTAAACATTACGAGTAATATTCCAACCATACTTTTTTAACTTTTAAATTCTCACAAGCATTTTTTTTTGTGGAATATCAATCATCTATTTATGTTTAACACTTTTCTGACAACTCAAGACTCTTATCCAAACCTCTTCCTCTAATTTTTCTGTTTTTAAACTTTTCTCAGCATCAGCGTGATCAGTCAGAGATTTGTTCGAGTCTGTTGAAGGAGAGGTGGGATGATCGGTTGCTTCTTCTTTTGCAGAATCATTGAATCCTGAAGAAAATAATAAATCAGTAAAAAAAATTAATCAACACACACATTAACAAAGAAAACATCCAACTGATTAACTGAGAACACAATAAATTATAAGTACCACTTAGAAAGCAGAAGTGACTTCAACACTAAATTAACTACAGTTACTGAAATGCAATGAAGTTCTGAAGGAAGACCTTCCTGGATAACGGAGTCAACAACAATGAGAACCTAGGGAAAGATCATCCAGCATAGCAATAATATTTACAGTACTGTGCAAGAGTGTTAGGACAAGAGAATATTTTGTTACTTCTTTCCATTTTATGGGTCTAATTCTTCCATTCCATTACAGAATATAAATTTCAACACTATTGGTAATGTTTTACTGATCCTTGTTGACAATCGAACGAGCCAGGGTAAGAATACTTATCATTCTCTACAATCCCCATATACTTGTACCAAGGGCATGTCACAAGGGTTCTACTTGAATGAACATACTGATCGAATTTAGGGCCTGAAATCACTGTCATGGTACCCCATGCAGTGTCTTAACTATATCGAAAG